GAGACAGAGCTGATTTCATCTGGGTATGGGCTGACCTGTTTCTCCTAATAAATAACTGGATTTCTTTTGCAACTTGGCTCGAGGCTCATAGTTTAATTAGGGCATCTGTCAGAATCCTGACACTGGACACAGCTGTTCCTCCTCTTCATCAGCCCCAGATTGGGGGGGGGGGTGCTGTGTTGACTCCCTCTCAGGAGGGTGGCGGGTCGCGGCTCTCCGCCTCTCTCTCTCTCTCTTTCTCTCTCTCTCTCTCTCTCTCTCTCTCTCTCTCTCTCTGCCAGCTACATTCCCTCTTCCCCTCAGAGCTCTCAGGTTGCCTTGATGCTGACCCTGACTCACATGCCGCCTCCTCCTCCTCCTCTGATTTGGTTGCTGGAAGGGTAGGGGCCGACATCAACCTTGACAGTGTGCAGGCCCCAACTCAAAGGCCATGTCATGCCCCTGTTGGAGTCTGACTCCGACCGAGAGGAGGAACAGCCGACAGGGAGTGGAAGTGTGGCTCTGGAGGTTGTAGAGGAAACTGGGGAAGGGCACAGCCCAGCTGGGCATTCAGAGGAAGACCCAGGCCCATTCCCTCTTATTTCGTTGTTCTCAGGTTTCTGAGTACAATGACAATAAATGTATCTATCTATCTATCTCTTCATCCTAGGGCATGCAGGGAGGAGCGGAGAAGGGATCAATGTGAATGGCATCTACGGGGGAGGAAAGGGCCCTGATCCCCTTCACGGGCTGCAGCTGTGAGGACTGTTTATAAGGACAAACTGCGCATGGCCCAGTGCTGGAAGCAAAGCATGAAATAATTCTAGTCTTTCAGTTCTTATCTGAGTTCTGGCATCCTTCCCAGCGTGTGTATTTTGATATCTGTGGATGTCTCCAAGCCCTTATCCTGCCTTGTCTCATTAATTGCTTCAGTGTGGTTTGTGTTGTTGTTGTTTTTTTCTATTTATAATTTATAGGTATTTTGAGTTTGAACGGAAGTTCTTCCTTTTTGCAACTGTTGGTGAGGGAGTTTTTCCTCCAGTCAATGATAATTGGAGCTTTGAAGCCAAGTTGAAGGAATTAAAGGGACTTCACCCGTTTTGGTGACTCTGTCGCTTTTGTATCCCACTCTGGGGTCATCCCAGGCCATCATCATCATTTCAACACCCCAAACCCTCTGTCTCGGAGACGGAGCGATATACCTATGCCTGGCATTGATTCGAGGCTTCAGGGTCACTTCACAGAGCCCGTTGTTGCAGTCCTTCCCTACCAGGCTGTGAGGGTGGATACGATAAGGCCAGTCCTTCCAGACCAAGCAAGCCGTCACTTTCACTTCCGGGATCCCCTCAAAGTTCTGCAGCTGGAGAAACAACCAAGGTTTCAGATGCTACACACACACACACACACAAGCTTAAGACTATCCCCGAAGTACCCTCTCTGCAAAACCTATCACACTTGGAAATACGGCATCCAGGTTTGGTTGCCACAATGTAAAAAAGGGGTTGAGACTCTGGAAAGAGTCCGGGGAAGAGCAACCAAGAGGATTAGGGGACTGGAGGCTAAAACATGGTTGCTGGAATTGGGTACGTCTAGCCACACCAATTTTAAGCTCTGTTGCAGTTGTAAGTCAAGGACTAAAAGAACAGAGTTGGAAGGGACCTTGAAAGTCATCTAGTCTGACTCCCTGCTCAAGCAGGAGAGTCTATCCCAAATATTAGCCTCTACCTAGGATCGAACTCACAGCTTCCTGATTGCGAGGCGAGAATTCCACCTCTAGGCCCCCAGAGCTGCTAATACCTTCACCTCCAAATCTTCCCATCTGTGTGTACAATAATCTCACGGGGGCTATAAGTTTATCAAAATCAGCATTTTGTGGCTCTATCAATCCCAGGAGAAAAAGTCCAACCTGCGAGCCACCTTATCCCAACACCTGGAGGGCACACCTGGATTGAAGCCCCTTCCTGGCTTCTCTGTTCTAAGCCCCTCCCCCCTATGGGCGGGGCTTGCCCTTTAACTCTGCCCTCCCCCTGCCCCCCCCCGTTCACCTCAATGGTGGGCAGCGTTTTGTTGGTCTCGCTGCTCCCTTCTCCCAAAATGCTCCCGGCTGACCGTCCTTCGCACTGATACCGGAAGCGCATCCCCCGTTGTTTCGGCTGCTCGATGATCACCAGTTTGGGCGGGTCACGCATCGTTTCATCCAGAGGTTTTGGGGCCACCGTGGAACACCCCGAAGGGCCGGGAGCTGGCCAAAGAGCGTCCAAATCCCGGCTGGAGGGCAGCGGAAGGGGCGGCAGCCCCCTCGGAACCAGCTGGGGCTGCAAAGACAAACTATTGAGGGTCCGGGACAGCTGTTGGGGGAAGGAATCCTGGGGTGAGCCCGGAGTAGGGAGGTCCGAGACCCCATAAGGCTCCAGCAAGAGGCTCATCCTTCCAGCTCTTTCCATCTCCGACGGGGCGAAGTTGGTGCTTCTGGGAATCAACTTGGGGGCCCCGTCCTCACCAAAACCATCTTCTTTAATCAGCTCATCAATGATGGCTAGAAAACGAAGAGGAGAAAGCCCAGCGGTTGGGACCGACTCGCTCGTCCAAGCTCTGATTTGTCAGCTAAGCTGCAATTAGTCAACTTCCCCCGTACATTGTGGCTTGGAAACCACGAGTATCAAGATCAGACAACTTGCTAAGCAAACAAACAAACAACAACAACAACCCATATGACAGTTTAGTGGAGGCCACATCCAGCACCCCATAGTGTCAACTCGTAAAACGTTCCTATGCCTGTTTTCGAGTTGCCATAAACAAGGTGGGGTGGGGGAGAGAACTGAAGTAGCACGACAGCAGTTTAAAACCAGAAATACATTCCAACGTTATTGTCAACTTAAAAAAACAAAAAACTCCTTTGGTCTTTTTAGTTGCCAGCAGAAAGGGAGTGGGGGAAAGCAGTGCATTCCTTAAATGCCTCAGATAATCGCCTTGGCAGCCCAAAGCTGTTGGCGTGCAAGATTATTACTGGAGAGCATGACTGATGATTCTTGGCTATGAAGGTGTCCCATTGGAGAATACATATCCAGGGTATGGGGGGAAAACCAGGGTCAAGGGGGAAATGAATGATGTATTTTAGTGTCGGCTGCGCCCAGCTAAAGCCAACATGGCCACTCCTAATAAATCAATATTTTTTTACACTGAGAGATGCGGTTAGAGACTTACGATTTGAATGAGAGTGGATTTGATGGAGCCCTGACACTTATCTTACAAAGATTGTAGCTAGGCTACGGGATCGTCTGCCCTCGAAAATCCTTCATTGGAGAATGTGATTGATGACACCCGGCCCTGTGAACACCTGCTTCATTGGAGAATCTGATTTATGATACACGGGGGTGGGGGGAGTGGGGACACAGGATCACAGGGGACTGTAAATTACGTATGCCAGAGTTGGCTTCATTTAGGTTAATGCTGACATGTTGCTCCTAATAAAACTTTTGAGTTTTTTTGATGCTTGGCTCGAGGCTCATGATTTAATTCGGGCAATCGCCGGAACCCTGACACATACCTTGTTTAGCCAACTTTTCCTGAATTGTGGGGGGTCTTTGGGTGCTCTCTGAGCGGGGGGGGGGGGGCTTTTCTTGCAGACGTTTGGTGACCCAACTAGATAACATCATCAGGGCTAGCATCATCACCTCGCGTTGATGTTGTTACCTAGCTGGGTCGTGAAACGTCTGCAAGGAAACCACCATACTGGGAAAAATGAAGAAACACCTACAGAAGATGTAATTTAAAAAATGCTAGACTGTGCAGAAATGGACGGATGGACATTTAAAAGAAAAAGAAGATACAGAATACTTCCAAACATGGGGCTTGTTTTATCGATTGGATAACAGAGGTAGAAATTACTATTACTATCTTAATTGGAAAAGTACTTTCATTCTGCTAAACAAATAATTCCCTCAACACTGTCCAACTATTTACTAAGTCTGCACTACTATTACTATTAATCTTCTCATCCCTCCTTATCACCCATCCCCTCCCACTGGTGACTGTATGACTGTAACTTTGTCGCTTGTCTCCTTACGATTTAATATTGACTGTTTCCTAGTAGGATTTGATTGCCTATTTGTACTCTATGACTATCTTTAAGTGTTGTACCTGATGATCCTTGACTCTTGATGAATGTATCTTTTCTTTTATGTCCACTGACAGCATTTGCACTGAAGACAAATTCCTTGTGTGTCCAATCACACTTGGCCAATAAAGAATTCTGTTCTGTTCTATTCTATCCTATCCTATCCTATCCTATCCTATCCTATCCTATCCTATCCTACTCTACTCTACTCCTATTCCTATTCCTATTTCATTCCATTCCATTCCACTATTATGTGAGCACACTGATCCAGACAATACACTGTTCCAAGGGTGGGACCCTACCGCCATAACAGCCGGTTCAATGAGCGTGCATGCATGCCAAATATGCGCTGCGCATGCATGCTCAACATTTATGAATCACCTTCTCCTGCTGATGCGTGAATAAAGGATAGCCTAGAGGCCAGACAGGCGGGTGGGTGAACTGGTTCGGTGTCAACTGCTTCTGTAGAACTGATAGTTCCGAAGAGCAGCTGACACTGAACCAGTTTGCTATCAGCTGCTCTTCGGAGCTACCGGTTCTATAGAACCGGGCCAAACCAGTTCAATCGCACCCCTGCACTGCTCACAAAACACTTAGGTGTGTAAAGAGAAAACGTATAAACAAATTGTTTAATTGTTAAAAAGACATGATCAGCTGCTGGTGATATATTTTTTTTCTTATTTAGTTGGATGACCTCAGCCAGCACTTTCACGGAGATGCCGAATAAAAGCAGAGAGAAAAAATAAACCTTAAAATAATGACTCCGTTAGGTGACAAATGTCTCCTTACCTGTCACTGGCAGCATCCCCCTAACCCCCGCCCCAGGTGCTTACCTAGTTCATCTGCAAAAGAAAAAAAGAGACATTATTCTATGCGGTACGATATCTTCCTTCCGTTTGCAAGCATCCACATCAGCTTCCCATTTCGCTCAGCCTTTGCCCAGATCTGAATACAGGTAGTCCTTGACTTACGACAGTTGGTTCAAAGTGACAACGGCCCTGAAAAATGTGACTTAAGACTGTTTTTCACAGTTATGAGCAGTGGTGGGGTTCAAATTTTTTTACTATCGGTTCTGTGGGCATGACATGGTGGGTGTGGCTTGGTGGGCGTGGCAGGGGAAGGTTACTGCAAAATCCCCATTCCTTTCCCACCCAACTAACCTGCTTTCCAGCTCCGTTCTCCTGTGCAGGGCAACCAAAGAAGACTCAGCCAATCAGCTGGGACTCGGGAGGCGGACCATAAATGGGGCGGGGACAGTCAGAGGTGGTACTTGCTGGTTCTCTGAACTACTCCAAATTTCTGCTACCAGTTCTCCAGAACCGGTCCAAACCGGCTAAATACTACCTCTGGTTATGACCTTTGCAGTATCCCTATAATCATGCAATCAAAATTCAGATGCTTGGCAACTGACTGGTATTTGTGACAGTTGCGGCATCCCTGGGGTCATGTGATCCCCTTCTAACAAGCAAAGTCCATGGGGGAAGCCAGATTCATTTAACGACTGGGTGACTCACTTAAAAACACTGCAGCGATTCCCTTTGCAACTGTAGCAAAGCAAAGTTGTACAATGTGCCGGAATTCACGTCAAAAATGTTTGCACGTAGCATGAGAAATGTTGGGGCTGAGCTGGGGGGTGGGGGTCGTAAGTCGAGGACCACCTTTTAAAGCAAGATGCTGAAAATCCTTACCCGAAGTCTCTCTGTTCGGCTGCATCCTGGACAAGCTAGAAGTGGCAAGAAGGGGGGCCTGTAAAAAAAAGATAGAAAAAGATGGAAAAAAATAAGAATAAATCAGGATGTCAGCGTTCCAGAAAAACCTCCACTCCAACCAATAACTCCTGAGACAGACATCTTCTCAAAAGTTCTGTTTTTGCTTTCTGCCTTCACATGACCCGCTGGAGAACCATCCGACAGTCTGCGCCAAAATGAGACGGTTGTCATGGATTTATTCATTTATATCACGCCTCTTATTACTTTTATAAATAACTCAGGGCGCCAGAACACACCTAGCGCTCCTCAACTTTGCTCCGTGCGAAGCAAATAGGGATCCCCTGACCCCGGGACACAGCAACCGTGGTAATTACATGCCAGCTGCCATGCCCAAATCTTACTAGATGAACAGAGTTGGAAGGGACCTTGTAGGTCATCTAGTCCAACCCCCCCACCCCCACCCAAGCAGGAAGACTTTACACCCGTGATGGTGAAGGGGCCCCAGCACGCATTGCCTTCTGGTGTGCTGGCACACGAGCGCACACAATTATCGGCACAGGAGCCGGAAAAGGTTTGCCACCACTGCCCTACACCATTTCTAGGGGTGATATGATGGCCGTCTTCCAATATTTGAGGGGCTGCGACAAAGGAACGGTGTAGGGTCTCCCGCTTGGGCAAGGGAGGGGGTTGGACTAGATGACCTACAAGGTCCCTTCCAACTCTGTTATTCTGTTATTAAAGAAGAGAGGAGGGAGGGGTCAATTTAATTCTCCAAAGCCCCTGAAGGCAGGACAAGAAGCAACGGGTGGAAACTAACCCAGGAGAGAAGGAAATCAGAACCAAGGATAAACTTATAAATTATATAAATTTTAAAGACAAAGATAAATTATAATTAATCAGTGGAAGGACTTTCCTGCAGGAGTTGTGGGTGCTCCATCACTGGAGGTCTTTAAGAAGAGATTTGTTTGACGTGGTAAAGGGTTTTCCCTGCTTGAGCAGGGGGTTGGACTAGAAGACCTCCCAAGGTCCCTTCCAACTTTGTAATTCTCCAGCAAACTCTGGCTAAGCACAGCATGCAGCCCCAATGGGTGGAACTGCTGGGAGGTTCTCCTGTATTTGAAAACTTAAGAGGGGAAAAAAATAAATAAATGCTGTTTTCTCCTAGGTGGCCCAAGTCCCACACTTGGGATACTGCACACCAGGGCTATCCAACCTGAAATGGGATAGTGTTTGACCAGGGGGGCTGGACTAGACGACCTCCAAGCTCCCTTCCAGCTCTATTCTGATTGGCTGACCTAATAACAGATAATCAGAGTTGGAAGGGGCCTCGTAGGTCATCTAGTCCAACCCCCTGCCCAAGCGGGAGACCCTACACCAAGTCTCAAGTGATGAAGCTCCCACAACTTCCGAGGGCAACTTCTGTTCCCTTGGTTGATTGTCAGAAAATGTCTCCTTGTCAGAGTGTTTGCAGTGTAACTACTATGATATTTTTTTATTATTCGTGTATAGATTGTCCATGCCAACAACTCTCCCAGGAATTATAACCAGTTAAACATCACAAAAATACATATATATATATATATATATATATATATATATAAGAAAATAACCAGGCTCTAATCCAAGGGTCTTTAAACTTGGCAAGTTTAAGACTTGTAGACTTCAACTCCCAGAATTCCTGAGCTAACATGACTAGAGGAGGAAGTCCACAAGTTTTAAAGCTGTCACGTTTGAAGACCCCTGATCTACAGTATCTATCTTCTATCTCCATGTCTGTCTGAGTCTGTCTGTTTATCTATCTATCTATCTATCTATCTATCTATCTATCTATCTATCTATCCATCCATCCATCCATCCATCCATCCATCCATCCATCCATCCATCCATCCATCCAAGGGTCTTCAAACTTGGCAAGTTTAAGACTTGGGAACTTCAATTCCCAGAATTCCAGAGCCAATATGACCAGAGAAGGAATTCTGGGAGTTGAAGTCCACAAGTCTTAAAAGCTGTCAAGTTTGAAAACCCTTGCAGTCTATACACTTATCATTCTATCCGTTTTAGTCATGTACAGTCCAATCATAATATTGCTTACAGCATATATTCTTACACATATTTATATACTGTACCTGTATTTATTTCTATTGTGTTAATCTTCTTTTATTATTAAGCACAACAAAGAATGTTCTTCCTGCACCAACTCAGAAAGCTCAAACTGCCTAAGAAGCTGCTGATACGGTTCTATAGAGGAAATGATTGAGTCTGTCAACTGCACCTCTATAACTGTCTGGCTTGGTTCTGCAACCCAACAAGAGAGACAGTGACTTCAGAGAGTAATTAGGACTGCAGAAAAAACAATTGCTACCAACCTGCCTTCCATGGAGGACCTGTATCCTGCACAAGTCAAAAAGCGGGCTGTGAAAATATCTTCAGACCCCTCGCATCCTGGACAAAAATGGTATCAATTCCTACCCTCAAAACGACGCTATAGAGCCCTGCACACCAGAACAACTAGACACAAGGACAGTTTTCCCCCAGAATGCCATTATTCTGCTAAACAACTCATTCCCACAACACTGTCAACTTATTTACTAAGACTTTATTACTATTATTCCTGTACTACTAGATCATAATAACACTTCCTAGTACCTATCTCTTCCCGCTTATGATTACAACAGTGTTGCTTGTATCTTTACAATTTGTATTATTGTATTTGTTTCCTACTATTTGATTGCTTATTAATATCCTATGACTATCACTGTTGTAATCTTAGGATTCTTAATGAATGTGTTTTATTTTTTCTTTTATGCACAGTGTGATCACAAGCACCGAAGACAAATTCCTTTTGTGTCCAATCATATTTGGCCAATCAAGAATTCTATTCTATTCTCTATATACCAAGGGTCTTCAAACTTGGTCAAGTCTAAGACTTGTGGACTCCCAGGGTTGAAGCTTTGCTGGCTGAGGAATTCTGGGAGTTGAAGTCCACAAGTCTTAAAGTTGCCAAGGTTGGAGACCCCTGATCTCGTCCAACC